TTTTATTTTTGCTAAAAATAAATATTCTGTCTAAAATGTGTCATATAAAAAGAGACTACTTACAGGAAATCCTCATTAAATGCACACCCAAGAATGAGACTCAACTGGTTCCAACATGATAATTTCTCATCACACATGCAAACTCAAAAGGCAGAGATAAAGAATATAGTAATCATTCTATCATACAATAAAGATTTCAGTTGTCATAAATTATAGAGTATGAATGATTACCGCTTCTGTATCGTCAAGGATCAAGACAGCACTTTCTTGCCCCAAAACAATATCTAGACCCTTTTGGTATTTCTGTGTACAATCCCCTTGTGCTATAACTCTAGAATGGAAGTAAACACCCCCAGGGTCCAGCAGCTTTGCCATTTCCAATGCATAGGCACGTTCTCCCATTGTGTATATGTACATCTCAAACAAATTACTAGCTTCCTTCAGAAAAGTGTTTACAAAAGGCCTCAACTTTGTCATCATGTGAATCATTTCCAGTCTAAACAGGCTGTTCTTTAGTGTATCTGGTCAATACAAATTAACGAATGAAATATAAATGGAAACAATTTTCACCATAAGAAACCAAAGCAATAATCAAATCCGAAACAAAAATGCTCATTACACTTCAATTTAGCACAACGTCATGCTAAAAGGTGAAGTAACCAGTTCAAGGAGAGTTTATTTAAGCCTCAGGCTGAAAGACTTTTGGTATATCTGCTTAACACAGTTTCAAATTGAAAGATAACTAAAATGGCAAGAGGCATTACACAAACTGAAACCGGAATATTAAAGGTAATGATGGAGCACTTGCGACTCAAGTATTGTTTAAAAAGCTGACACAGATTACGCCTTAAGGCATGCCTCATTGAGGCATTCACTTAGCAATTTGTTAAGGCATACTCCTCGATTTAATGAGGTGTGGTTAAAGAGCGTGTTTGTTTTTCTTGCATTTTCTGGACTGTTTATTACTGGGATCAGCTTTTAGAAGGATTCTTTTATAGCATGGAATGTTCAACAGGTTTCTATGTTTTCTTTTCTCAACCTCTAACTGAAGGGGACGGAGAAGACACCATTGCAATTTGAAGAAAATGGCAAAGAATAAGAAGGAAAGGATGGTAATGAGGCGGNATTATTTTTATTCATGATAGGGGATTGAGGAGGTTTTGAGATTGAGCATTTCTCTCCTAAGTATTATTACACACATTGCTGTTGGTTGTGAAGAACTCCAGTTCATGAAATAAGGAAAATGCTATCTGGGAGATCATAACTGAATTCAAGTATATGATTCCTTGAAATAGAATCGGATTCCACTCCTAAGTATGTTACAATACAAAACAAACCTACAAAACTGAGGGGTGTGGCATATGTTTAGCTCCTGTTTATAATAAGTCAAATCGCTTTTTATTCACACATTTCATGGGATACATAAGTACTACTCACTTATTAATAATTAGGGTTGGCAATGGTTCAATTCAGGGTCGGTTAAGCCAAAACCATCATCGAACCACTAATTTTTTGGTCATACCATAACTGCAACATAACTACATAAGTTGGTTTGGTTCGTATCTCGGTTCGGGCGGTTAATAACCACGAAGATAAATTATTTTTTATAGGTCCAACAGTCAAATTAGAAAAAACAATTTATGAAAAAAAAGTCAACGAAAACCAAAACACAATACTAAGTCAATTTAGCAAACAATATCCCAAATGAAAATACAAACAATTTCCCAATTCCCACATGGCAAAATCTGAGATCTATCTCTGTTTTCGTCACGAAGTAATGGAGAAGAATGATTTGGGGACGGCTATAGTTGGTGGAGGCGTTAGTGATTGTCGTAGGGGCGGAAAGCGATGGTGATCGTCTTGTAGCGGCAAAAGGCGGTGATTTAGATATGCGTTGTGTTGAATCTGTTGATTCCAATTTCCATATGTGTTTAATATTTTGTGTAGTAAGGTGTAGGCTATGATGCATTAACACGGACACGTGTGTCCGACATGATACATGTCGGATATCATGTCGAACATGTCAACTCGTGATTTTTCAAAAAAGTACCGACACGACACGTCGTCGACACGTTCATTAAATTCTTTAAAATTCTTCATTTATATAGTTTAAATTTAGTTTTATACTTATTATTGATTCTTTTTTGTTGAAATCTTTTAAATATGAGTACTTATTTGTTATTTACTAAAAATTTTGAATTAAAAATATATAAAACCTGTAGTAAGAAAGGAAAATGATTATTGTAGAGTGTCGGAATCGACACGTGTTCGACGCGGACACGCTACCCTAATTAGAGTGTCTATGCTACATAGGGTGTAGGGTTACTGAGTTAGGTTAGTTGGACTTAATAGGTCGGTAATGGGACAGAATTTTAGGCTGGACAGCATCATAGAAAGAATAATGGAAAGCCCAATAGCCCAATTAATTTTATTTTTTAATGGGTAATCGGTTTGGGACAGGGCAATGGCTTAAATATCATACTCATCCCACCCCGAACAGGGGCATTAGAATCAAATATCATATCTACTCCATTGCGCTATCGGTTTGATTTTTTCGGCCCATTCGGTTTGGTTAACCATGATTTTCGATTTTGACAGTTAGAATTGCCATCCTATAAATAACTCATTTCTATCTATTTATAATTTAAATTGATTATGAAAAAACTACAAACATGCTATAAGATTTTTAAGGATTTCTTAATATTTTACAATTCTCATGGATTTGAATAGGATTCCACAGTTAATAAGATTTTAATGAAATTCTATATTATAGATTTTTATGGATTCCCGTCAATTTCACGGATTTGAAATGTAAACCTACTTTTCTTATACATGTTAACTTATTAAGTTTATATTAATATAATGTGTTTTTATTTTTTATTGTTTTGATAGGGAAAAAATTTGGACCATTTCTCGATTTGTGCATGTCACCCCTGCCCAAGGGCCATGCTAATCTTCTCCACATCATTCCAATTTTAACAGATGTCCCCGAAGGGACTTATTCAAAATTAAACAAGTTATTTAAAATGCATGTGTGCAAATATATCGGAAAGATGGTTTTTAATTTTTTTAATTACAATTTTGGACTTTGGTCCATAGTTTTTAAACCCAAGTCAGGTAGTGACCTGGTCCAGGTGTGTCACTAGTCAAATAGGTGGATCACGACATACTTAGAGAGTAATGTAAAAATATTCAAAATGTCAAATTTTTTTCCTAATAAAGTTAGACTATTAAATTGTTTCATTAATTATTCTTTCATTTATAAGCATTAAACATACTGTAAACAGTTTTGTTACCATAATATTTTCATTTTTATTTTATAATTATGTATCATATAAAGTTTATATTATCCTCATTTTACTTATGTACCAACACTATTGAGTTCATATGATTATTGAATTTATATGTATATTATATGCTGCATTATATACAATTTTCATAAAGGTAGATTGATAATAATTTGAAATTAAAGTAAAACTAATAATAAAATAGATGATTACCATGCATTATAAATATATATTATTTATGTTTTATAGGTGTATATTAATTACAACAATACTAAATATAATAAATTTTAAGAAAGTAACCTTGTGTATGTACCCAAATGCCACACGGCTCACACCAGACTCATCATCAATTATCTGCCCACAACGTATGCACATCCCTCCAATGATACCAGGATGTGGACACACATTCTTTTTTGGAGATGATCCTGCACCAGAACAGTGTAACATAAAGAACATTTTACAGGAATGCTAAACTTCCAAGTTGGAAATTGGAACCTAAGTGAACAAGTTGATAAATATAGATGTAGTCCTAAACAGTTCAAAACTCTTTTGAGGAAAGGTTATGAGAGATACGAAAGACATATCCTCAATGGAAAATGATTCTCAGCGCGAGTATAAAGAGCTGAAACTAAAAGGAGGTACTGAATTGAGATAGAGAAAGAAGCACACACAAGGAATTATTCCTATGTTATAGTTGTTTATGTTTGTTGAACATATTAAGCAGATAGCGTGAAGGGAAGAATGGAAAATCAGCTAATTCTAAGTTCTGATGCATGGGAACAAAAACTTGAAAAAATAAAAACAAAATTATTTCCATCTTTCAGTTCATTAATTTATGTTTTTTTTGTTTAGTTATGGCCTTACTTTCTCCAATCTGTTATGCCCCTCATTATTTTAGATGAATGGAGTGAGGCAATTACAAGGTAAGTAACTCTACAAGAAAATATTTTTGAACCACTAAAGCATTCGGTGCACGATCTTTGGAGTACTACCACACTTGAGCCTCAACTTCAATTATAATGGACCAAGCTAGTTCAAGATTACAATTGGCTCCTACAAAGTCACATGTTACACTAGTCATTAGCTGTACCACTTATCACAATCTCCGTTTTCCTAGTGGTTCCCACAGTGTCAGGACTCAAACCAGCAGTCAAGTATTGCCTCATGTAAAGTGTAGAAAGTATGATCAGTAGCTACAGCATTTGGGCCAGAATAAGTACTTAAAAATAAAAAGTTGTTCAGACTTAGAACACATACTGAACTCCAGTAAAAAAGGAAAAGAATGAATTAAGAACACAAGAATTACTGTAGATTGCAGTTGAAGCACATTTTGCACTCTGCCTTCTGGGCAAGATATGGGTGTTCCAATTGAAAAGGAATATGAAGATGGCAGAGTTTTGACATAGGATGAACTTGGGGCAAGAAAGACCCATACTTTTCAAGGGTGAACCAGAACCACCATGTCCAATGACACCCTGGGTACTTAGCGTCTATAAACACCATTTCATTTTTCTCTCCTCTTCCCTTTATTTATTTATTGTTATTATTATTTTGTTCCTGGATAAGCTATTGCCGATCAACTTTTCCAAGTCATTTTAGCTAAAACAAGAATAGAATACTTGATTTCTATAAAGAATTACAGAACTAAAAATCATTGATGCATCTGATATAGTAGTATCACCTAAAGTTTGTGGCGCCTCTCCTTGACATTTGGAACTATGTGAATCTACCATTTCTTCATATACCTCCACCTTGCGCCTCTTAATTCTACAATAATAATAGGTATCAAGATAAAACATAAATATCAAAAGGTGAAAATATAAACAACTGATGTTATTCATCCAAAAAAATGCAAGTAAATACGAACTATTAGGAATATACTATTATTTTCACCAGCATAAAAAATAAACATATAACCAAAAGTATTAACAGAAGTTGGTTCATAAGACATATCCTCAATGGAAAATGATTCTCAGCGCGAGTATAAAGAGCTGAAACTAAAAGGAGGTACTGAATTGAGATAGAGAAAGAAGCACACACAAGGAATTATTCCTATGTTATAGTTGTTTATGTTTGTTGAACATATTAAGCAGATAGCGTGAAGGGAAGAATGGAAAATCAGCTAATTCTAAGTTCTGATGCATGGGAACAAAAACTTGAAAAAATAAAAACAAAATTATTTCCATCTTTCAGTTCATTAATTTATGTTTTTTTTGTTTAGTTATGGCCTTACTTTCTCCAATCTGTTATGCCCCTCATTATTTTAGATGAATGGAGTGAGGCAATTACAAGGTAAGTAACTCTACAAGAAAATATTTTTGAACCACTAAAGCATTCGGTGCACGATCTTTGGAGTACTACCACACTTGAGCCTCAACTTCAATTATAATGGACCAAGCTAGTTCAAGATTACAATTGGCTCCTACAAAGTCACATGTTACACTAGTCATTAGCTGTACCACTTATCACAATCTCCGTTTTCCTAGTGGTTCCCACAGTGTCAGGACTCAAACCAGCAGTCAAGTATTGCCTCATGTAAAGTGTAGAAAGTATGATCAGTAGCTACAGCATTTGGGCCAGAATAAGTACTTAAAAATAAAAAGTTGTTCAGACTTAGAACACATACTGAACTCCAGTAAAAAAGGAAAAGAATGAATTAAGAACACAAGAATTACAGTAGATTGCAGTTGAAGCACATTTTGCACTCTGCCTTCTGGGCAAGATATGGGTGTTCCAATTGAAAAGGAATATGAAGATGGCAGAGTTTTGACATAGGATGAACTTGGGGCAAGAAAGACCCATACTTTTCAAGGGTGAACCAGAACCACCATGTCCAATGACACCCTGGGTACTTAGCGTCTATAAACACCATTTCATTTTTCTCTCCTCTTCCCTTTATTTGTAGATTGCAGTTGAAGCACATTTTGCACTCTGCCTTCTGGGCAAGATATGGGTGTTCCAATTGAAAAGGAATATGAAGATGGCAGAGTTTTGACATAGGATGAACTTGGGGCAAGAAAGACCCATACTTTTCAAGGGTGAACCAGAACCACCATGTCCAATGACACCCTGGGTACTTAGCGTCTATAAACACCATTTCATTTTTCTCTCCTCTTCCCTTTATTTATTTATTGTTATTATTATTTTGTTCCTGGATAAGCTATTGCCGATCAACTTTTCCAAGTCATTTTAGCTAAAACAAGAATAGAATACTTGATTTCTATAAAGAATTACAGAACTAAAAATCATTGATGCATCTGATATAGTAGTATCACCTAAAGTTTGTGGCGCCTCTCCTTGACATTTGGAACTATGTGAATCTACCATTTCTTCATATACCTCCACCTTGCGCCTCTTAATTCTACAATAATAATAGGTATCAAGATAAAACATAAATATCAAAAGGTGAAAATATAAACAACTGATGTTATTCATCCAAAAAAATGCAAGTAAATACGAACTATTAGGAATATACTATTATTTTCACCAGCATAAAAAATAAACATATAACCAAAAGTATTAACAGAAGTTGGTTCATTCTGTGTGGCACCTCTTTTGTAACAAGATAGTCTTGCATACATCAATTTATCTGTAGTAGGAGATAAGGACACATGATGTGATTGTAGCAAAATAAGCATAAATAATTTAATGCATAATTTAATTATAACAAGAAACTGAATTGAGAATTTAACGTCCAAAAAATTTAATATGAAATTAGCAATGATAATTCAGAGGATCAATAAGATGGTCATTTTCAGTAGTATCAAATAAATCTCTTTAGCAGTTTCTAACACTTTCTGAAAACTTGAGGAACCTGTTCTGAGGTTTCTGATATATAGTGAACCTTAATGATCAATCATAATTGATAACAACACTCGAACACATAAAAGGATAGAAAAAAGTTTATCTGACTAAAAGATGAATAATACCCTTAGACACTCAACCTGGAACAAATACTGGCACTTTAGGCTTTCTAGTAGTAATATTAAAATATTATTATCCACAACAAATTTGATGCTCATGACGTAATGGTAAAGGTGTCGCAGTAATGGATATCTATTATCAAATTAAACTAGCAGTACTTTGTAGCTCATTTTCGTGAAACATTGATTTTGACAAGTATTTATACAACAAAAATTTTGACCTTTTCGACATATTTAATATAATGCCTTGAGTAACATCACAAGAAGGTTAACTATTATCTCAAGGATTAGATCTTTTAAGCATATCTGTTTGACAACTCTAGCATAATACATCTTCAGAACTAGAGAATTACTTGGTGTACATTTCTCAAATATCGATATAGTTTTTTCCCTACATTTTAACTTCAAAATTTAAAGAAATGCATAGTATCAGGCTGCACCACCCATCCAAACCTCAAAGGCCATCAATAATATGTCATTTTTTATCAAATAAATGTGCACGAAGAAGTTCAGCAGCCAATTGATTTCCTTATAATGTACTCGACCAATTTAATAGTAATCTTAGAGAACCTTTGATGATCTGAATTATAGCCATCATCCACGTCACCAACAATTTCCTCTTCTTTCTCTTCTACCTCTCCAGGTTCAGGTGACGCATCAGAAGCAGAATCCAACTCGGCATCTAAAATCGCTGCAAAGTCATCACTGCTTGACGAATGTACTGGAGAATCCGCTGTTAAACTCATCTAACATTTGCACCCAGAATAATAAATAATGTAAGATAATTTGAATGTCAAGCAATGAACAAAACAGCTCCGTCTAATACAGAAACAAATTTTTAGGACTCAAAACAATCTAAATCAAATCACCTTTCACTTGTAAAATACCTATAATGAAAACAAATTTGCTGAACATTGCAAAAGTTCATTCCTTTTCATTTTTATTTGTCGAACCAAATTCGATTGGATTTTAATTTTCGCATGAAAATCAGAAACCCTATTTCCTCAATACATAACCATAATTGACAGTATTATAAGCACTTTAAGCTAAGTGTATACCGAAATAGTCAAAAGTTGGAGGTGGAGAAGGAAGAAAAGATCGAGGAGATTACCGGAGCTACGCTGCCGGGCAGAGATTAATGTTTTAGAAAATATCCTTTGAACAACTAAAAAGTCATTAATATTGTAATAAGATAAATCTAAAATAAAAATTACAAAAATAATTACGATATTCCAACATGCGTAAATTTAATTTGACATAACGATTTACCGACGCTATCAATGAGAGGGGTCCACCTTTTTTTGAAATTTTTTATTCACGCGACACCATCGCATGTTAAATAATGCCAACTATCATGTCAAAAATGTTCAAGCGAAGTAGATTAATCCTAAATTTAATGGCTGAATGGGCTGGACTTACTTTTGCTTATATTTATGCTTTTTTTTAAGAAGAGTTTTTTTTTTTAAAAGTTGCTCAGAAACGAGTTAATTGTTTCAATGGTCACTAAATTTAGATTCATACTTTTTATTAGTCACTGAATTTTAAAATGTTGAGTTTTAGACACTGAACTAAGGTCAATATCTTCGATTGCTCATTGAATTTAGTTCCATATCTTAGATTGCTCACTGAATTTTAAAATGTCGAGTTTTGATCATTGAACTTTGAAATATGTCGTACGTTACTTACTAGCTTAACTGTTGAACTTTGAAAAATATGGAATTTACAATGAGTAATGTATTGCATTTTCAAAGTTTAGGTAGTAATGTACAATATTTTTCAAAATCCAATGAGTAATGAACAACATTTTTTAAAGTTCAGTAGCCAAATTCGATATTTTAAATTTCAGTGAGCAATCAAAGACGTGGATATAAGTTCAGTTACAAAAACTTAACATTTTAAACTTCAATGACCAATCAAAGATATGAACATAAATTCAGTGACAATTGGAACAATTAACTCCTCAAAAACAGCCTCTTTTATAAAATTTTATAGTCATGCTTTCACTTTTAGAAAATTATCTAAACATGTTGAAAGAAATTTCTTAATCTCAAAAGTAATTTTTGAACTCTTCAAAAGTCCTATCGAACGGCCATAAATCAACTAAACACAATAGGAAAGTGTGTTTGAGTATTGTTTGTAGTTGATTTAAACTATAAATAAATAGAAATAAATTATTTATAAGTATAGCGGTACGTAATTTGATCAAAAGTATGTACAATTTAAATTATTATCAAACAAGGACTAAACACATTTTTCGCATTGAACAATTATAAAGTTTATTATACATTTAGGTCATGTTCTATAGTGATTGTAAGAATTGATTTTTTGATCGTTAAAAAGAAAACTGAATACCGATAAAAAAAATGGCGATTGAAATAGTGAAATAACGATAAAAAAATTAATTTTTTTGGATAATAAATTGCTACCAAACGGAAGCATAGTCTTATATTTACCACCTTGAAAATTTATCTCGTATGTTTCCCGTTGGATCCAAATCGTAGCTCTACCCTTATTGACCATTGGTTGTTATACACATTCAAGACAAAACAAAATACAATTCTTGGGGTAAAAAAAAATGACATTTAGGAGTTTTTCAATAAAATTTTTGATAAGTAATTTATCGAGTTTTGATAAAGTTAATGAAATGTATAGTTAAAAAATTTATAAAACTTATGAGTACCGTAAATGTATGATAAAAATTAAATTTATTAATGTTTGTTTGATAAATTTTTTGCCATGTAACAAATAGTTTTATTAAGCTCTTGTTCGACCCATTTTAAGTTAAATAATGTATTTTTAAATAGGGATTGATAGAGAATGTGTAGTAAAAAATTAATTAAAAGATTTGAATTTGTGTGCAATATTACCTTATTGAAGAATGTGCGGCTGAAAATGAATTTTTGGAAAAAAAAAAAAATAGGTTTTGAAAAAATTCCTGCTAAATAGGACTTAGTTGAAAAGCTCAATAATAATTATTAAAGTTAAAAATTATACAGGATTTAGGGTTTTAAAGCTCTGTTTCCACTCGCTGTTGCTCCCTCTCTCTCTCAATAGCCGAAAACGCTCTCTTCTCCTCTCTCTCTCTCTCTCTCTCTCACGCCAACGGATTCAGTGTGTGAAAACCTTCAGAAGCGTATACTTATACACACATGCCCATATAGATGCATAGATAGAAGGAAAAAGGGTTCTTGATTCTATTTTGATTCAACATCTGGTTTATGGATTCAGTGAGTTTGAACAGGGTGGCGGAGTCCGAACCGGATCCGAATAAGGACGGGTCGGCTATTTTTCATCGAAGAATTGAGTTTCATTTGGCGAGGAAGTCATTTAATGGATTTAGTAATAGCAACAGTAATGGGTTTAAGCTGGTGACTCTTAACCCCGGCTCTTTAAATGGATTTAGTTCGGAGCCCCAGATTGCATCATTGTCGGGAAAGAAGGTTGGCCGGTCGGAGCTTCTGGAAAATGGTTTAGATCCGGAACTCAGCTTTGGAATTACTTTCAGGAGAATTGTGAGTTCTTGATAACAGTGTTTAAAGTTGGCCTTTTTCTTTTACACACGAATATAATTAATGCGTGTGTGTATACAGGAATTCTTGCCAATTTGTTTGTTGTTACATTTTTTTCTTTTATTTATGATCTTCTCTAGCTGAATTCCTGCTTTTGGAAAAAAAAAATGGTGTACTTTCAGTCTCTGTTTCAATAATTATTACGGGGTATTGGAACTTCGGTTAGGCTTATCTGTAGTAGCATGTTCTTGAGTGAAAGTGATTATATTTGTGTCAGTTATCTTATTGTTGATGATCTTTATTTCTTCTTCTTTTCTTGTGCTTTATGTTTGTTATATGCACGCTCACTCGGGCTTAAACTTTATTGTTCTTATGGTAGGGGGAAATAATTATTCCAAGTCCTCTGAACATTTTCCTGTTTTTTATCTAATCTGGGATGCCACTTTTCAGATTTAGTTTGAGGAACCGTTTGTTTTAATTTTCTTTTGCTTTCATATTTTTCTATTCCTGTTTGCTTCATCTATTATAGCTCTGTAATAATTTTATTGTGGTGAAATTTCACCTCTTTAACTTTCTCAATATTTGTCTGTACTTACTCAAAGGAAAATGTCGTCTTAATTATTTTCTCAAATTTCCAGGATGGCATGTGGAATGTATAAGTGACTAGAGTCGGTTTCATATTATCATTCTTCAAGCCTAAAAGATGAAACTCGAGTTTTAATAGAACTCACTTAAACAAGATCGAGACGACATCTTTGTTTGAAGAAAGACAAGCTTTTATCATATCTTTAGGATAACTATTAAAACTTCGTTGGGACACTAAAAATAATTGGATTGAACTGAAATTCTTTCATGCTGAGCTCTTTGATTGGTATAAGATATAAGAATGCTTCCTTTCAGTTATGTTGAGATCGATAGGATTTGCCCCATCACTGGATGCAATTGCTTTTTAGTTTATTTATCTTCTCATTAATCATGATCAAGTATGGACTTGTGGGTTTGAAGAACAATTTGACGCACTTATGAAAATACTTTGCAGTTGAAATCCACCAAAAAATTTCTGGGTTTTCTGGGATATAGTTGGAAAAGTGAAGGTTTTGCTGCCTGCATTTCCATATGACAAGAGTTCTTCACTTTGGTTCCCCTCTATAGATTACTTTCTTTTCATGTGAGGTGCTCGTAGTTTTCCTCATTGTACCTATGTCAATTTACTTAGACATTTGAAAATGCTCTTTAGATTTGATTGGTTATTAATTATCACTATCGATCCAGCATTTGGGCCTTATGCTGTCTAATAAAGATAATACTTGGGGATTAGTAATTTGCTTTTGAAGAACAAGACAGCATAATTATGAGATTCAAATGTGTAACTACAGGGTGCTGGCTTGCGTAATCTTGGAAATACTTGTTTCCTCAATTCAGTATTACAATGTCTGACTTATACTGAGCCATTAGCAGCATATCTACAAAGCGGGAAGCACCAAACTTCTTGTGAGTCTCTCTCCCCCTCTCCAAGCTCATGCTGTATCCCACTTGCCAATTAATTGCTAAATTCTGTTCTTTTTAACCTTATAAACAAAGCTCTCATTTATGATTTTATTTTGTAAACAAAACTCAAAGAAAGAAAAGTAGGAACGTTTAATGGTCATATAGAATTAAGATGCAAAACATTGATACGTGTAGTATGCATATTGAATTGTAATTTGGAGTTCTTGTTTTTAAGTTTTCTAGATTCATGTTTTTTCCAGTGTCAACTCTATATGATATATGCTCATTATCGTATTTTGAGACAACGCCCCTATTTGAAGGTGATTAGAATCTAGACTTTAATCTAAGTCAAAGTCAAATTCAACAATTAATTATAACCACATTTCATGGGAATCACAATTTTTCAACCACAAAATTGACTTTTATCAAAATTTACTAAAAATTTGATTTTAATCCCCACAATCAGGGGCTATCTTTTATTCTTTATTTTGACTTTGCCACTTAATTTTATGCAGGTCGCACTGCTGGATTTTGTGCTCTTTGTGCTATCCAGAAACATGTAAGTCGTGCTCTACAATCAACCGGGAGAATACTGGAGCCTAAAGATCTCGTATCAAACTTGCGTTGTATCCTAATTATGATTAACGTTTTCCCTACTTCTAAAATCTGCTGAAAGTGGTCTCATTATATTTGACCACCCATGGCTGATCTATCCTTTCTCTTCCCCTCCATTGCTTTCTGTTACTCAAACACATGATAAGCAGTCTGACCTTTCCACACTGATACAATATTTCTTCAGTCAAAGCTTAATTCAAAACTTCTTGTTTTACTGATGTGGGAATTTCTTTAGGAGGATCTAACTAGTACTTGACGAGAGTTGTTTTGGTGATTTGCTTGTCACTTTTCCTGATTCTCAATCTTGTTTGATATAAATTAATTCAAGTTTTTCAGTAATTACGTGCTGTTTATTGAAATTTTTGTTGAGTCATGATAGAGACACTCTTCAGCTGTTTACGCAATCATTTTTCTCACCCCTTTTCTCTATTATCCTTGTCAAGTTATCAACTGATTTTTGATGATGCAAATAATTATATTTTTAACACTTGGAAAATATATAATTTCCATTTCCAAAATTTGCAAGAAATCAAGTTTTTTCTCTTTATTGCAAACTGAGTGTTGCTCATTTGTCTTTCTTTTGAAAGTTAGAATCCTTGACATGACATTTAGGCATATCGCGGAACTTCCGAAATGCCAGACAAGAGGACGCTCATGAATACATGGTGAATTTGCTTGAATC